AGCTTTGCAAAGTTAGGATTATTTTGAGTGACCTAGTTTTTGTGAAATAATATAAGATTGATATTTAAGACAATTTTTTAATTTTTATAATAGATCTATAAGTAAAAATTTGTAGATTTGTGAGTATAATTTTGCTAAATATGTGTTATATATTTGAGCTAATAGATAGATTGAAGATTATTGAAATTCAAGTAGGTTGAAGTCTCAAAAATTGGAGTTTGAAGGTTAATGAGAGCTTCTAATATCTTGTGCAATCTATTAATTGAATTGAAGTGAAAATTATTTGTATGGATAGTTGACTTAATTTCTAACATTTGTATAAATTTTGAATAAAATTCAATGGTTTAAAAAAGAAATATTGGTATTTAGAGCTCCATATTAAGGATAGAAAAAGAAACCACTCGACACCCAAATAGATTATCTTATATTTCTTTCAATTAGTAAGTATAATTGATTTCATTTTTTTTTTTTTTGCTTGTTTGAAATTGAGTTGTTGAAAAGTATAGAAATTTTGAATTAATATCAATAATTCAATCATTAGTTGTTGAGATTTCAATCTACTATAGGATTTGTTAAGAGTTTGTTTAGGATTTATGATTTAATTAAATTCAATCTAAAATTTAAGTTTTACTTAGGATTTATTTAGGATTATCTTAAGATTTCATCATGATTTGGTTTAAGATTTTATTAAAATTTAGAATTTATTTAGGATTTAGTCTATAATTTGATTAAAATTAAATTGATATTTATTTTAAGACTTGATTAGAATTTGGTTAGGATTTGGTCTAAAATTTGATTAGGATTTTATTAGGATTTAATTTAAGATTTTTTTAGTATTTAGAATTTATTTAGGACTTAATTAAGATTGATTTAAAGCTTCATTAGGATTTAATTAGGATTCATTTAGGATTTTATTAGAATTTGGTTAAGATTTGGTTACGATTTGGTTTAAAATTTTATTAGGATTTAATCAAGATTTAGTTAGGATTTTATTAGAATTTAATCTAAGATTTGATTAGTATTTAGAACTTATTTAAGAATTAATTAGGATTGGTTTAAAGCTTCATTAGGATTTGATTAGAATTTGTTTAGGATTTCATTAAAATTTGATTAGAATTTGGTTTAAATTAATTTAGGATTTTATTAGAATTTTTTGAGAAATAATTAGGATTGGATTAGGATTTATTTAGGATTTCTACTTTTATTATTTCTTTAGAATTTTCTATTTCTAATATTTTTTTTAGTAGTTATAATTATTCTTTAAAGTTTTATTTTTATATTTTTTATTTTATTTTATTTTTCTTTGAAATTAATTTATGATTTCTTTGTGCATCTTTTGCAACTTCTTTTAAATTTATTTTAGATTGGTAGAAGTTTTATTAAGGTTATTAAGAATTACTTAAAGTTTATTTTAAAATCTATTAGACTTGATAGGATTGTTGTTATATTTCTACTTATCTTTTTTAGTCAAGTGCCTGGTGTATTCTCAAGCAAGAATACATGTAATACGACAATGTCTATGAATTTTTTAAGAAGCTTTTCTATAAGATATTATATTATTTATGAAAATTTAATTACTTCTCTTTAAATCTTCTTATTTAGATAATTATTAGTATTGATTATGTCTATAAAAAAAAAAAAAAAAGCATTAAGACAACACCAATGACACAAAGTTTAGAATTAAAAAAACTCAATGTAAAGTTTTATATATATATATTATAGTATATTTAGAAATATATAAATTAAATCATTCATTTAGAAAATATAAATTATATATTATATATTTATAAATTAATAAATTATATTATAATTTAATATTTATAAATAAAATTATATATTCATAATTTTACAATTTTATAATTTTTAATTTTTAATCTAAATATTATATATACACGTATATATATACATATATAGTTTTTTTATAATATTATGAAAAAGATAGTTGTTTTAATAAAATTTAGATATGAATTGGAAAATTAAGTATTAAAATTTTAAAGATATATACTCTTAATTTTTTATTTTATAATTATAATTATAAAAAATTATAAAATTTATTTTAAATAAAATTTAAAAAATAAATTTAAATATATGTATATATTTATATAATTAATAAAATAAATATAAAATAATATAAAATATTTTAGTCATATAAAATATAAGTATTATAATTATTTTATAATATTTAAATATAAAAATATGTATTATTTTTAATTAATAGGATTAATTTCATTCTTGAATTATATTTATTAATATTTTAGAATTACATAATATTAATCCTAAATATATAATTTCTTATTTTGGTCTTTATAATCTAATCTTTTTAAATAGTTATTTAATATAATTTATTACTATAAGATGGATAATCTAACATTGTGCTTTAGAAGAAGAAGAAAAAAAAAAAAAAAAAAAAAAAAAAAAAAAAATTTGATAAAAAAAATGTTTTGCTTATTTGAACATCTAGATTCTTATACCTTGAGAGTCATAAGATATCCCTTTTATGTTTCTACATAGGAACTATCCTTATTCTTATCTCAAATCCTTATAGCTCTTATTTTTGTTAAAGTCAAGGTCAAACAATTGAACCTTAAATCTATTATCAATATATTAGTTAATTTTGTTTTGTCCTCTTCAACCTAGTCTTTAAAACTTATACATTGAGAACAACTATATCTTCATGAACTTCATTTTGTCTTCATCTTCTTCAATCTAGTCTTCAAAGCTCTTGCTTCTTGCTTTTGATGAATATTTATACTTTCATGAACTTCATCTTGTCTTTGTATTCGTCAATCTAATCTTCAAAGCTCTTATATTGAGAACAACTAAATCTTCATGAACTTTATTTGGTCTTCATCTTCTTCAACTTAGTCTTCAAAGTTCTTATTTCCCTATATTGATGAACATTTGTATATTAATGAACTTTTACCTATAACTCTTACAACTTAATAATAGACCAAAAGTGTATTATGAAATGACATGCAAGTATGAAATGACATTCAATTATAATTTCTTTATTATGATTTTCTTTTGATAATTATATCATAGCTTTGAAGCTATTTATAGCTCCTTCATAGTGACTTTCTTCCAATACTATTTAAACATAGGAAAACTAATTTATTTTTAACTATCATAACTATCAAAGGTGGTTTTAACCACCTTGTCTTTTAAACACATGGATGGCTAACTCCTTTGCCTTTGTATACTCTACATTTTCCTAACCTTATTAACATTTACTTCTATAAGTTGTTTTTTTATACCAAGTTTTGTCTTTTTCTTCTTTTATACTAATCTATTTCCTTCCTATTTCTCTACTATGCACCTTCTTAACAAAATAATTTTTTTATTTCATTAATTATAATTTCTAAGGTTAGCAATATTTAATGTGGAGCCTTCTCTTCAACCAAAACCACTAAGGTACAGAATTTCAAAGACTATGTATTGTTAATTTGTTTCATTTATTTATAAATTTATAGAAATTGCTCTTGTTCTTTGATTGAGATGTCTTCAAAAATAAAAAATATAAAATAAAAATATATATTCTCAATTCAGTATAGGTTACTATTTACCACACTATGTTTATGAAGTAAAATTTACATAGAATTTCAGAGAATTACATAGAATATTTCAGAGAATGGACAAAGAATACAAAAAATAAACATTTTCCTTTTGATATATCAACTAGGGTATTTACTTAAGTTTACTGGACATGTCTATAAATTAGAGAAAACATTAGAATAAGTTCATATGATGTATCCCAGAAAACTTTAAAACAAAAATTAAGGTAATTTTACATTTTTCAAACGTCCACTGGTTCAAAATGATATCACTCACATATGCATCACACTCATCATTTCAGTCTGCCTAAGCATGGATGCAAAGAAGCCTTATACAACCTGTTTCAATTATGTGCAATCGACATGCCTCTGTGTTGTCTTCCTGTAATGTTGGTTCAACGAAGTAATGAAGCAGTGAATGCAGAATGCAGAAACAGTAGCTTTATGTGAAAAGTTTGGTCGATCGACCCAAACATCCATTTAATGTATGACATTCAAGCACGGCAACGCAAATTTCGGTACACACACTCAAAACTTCTCCAAGCGTGTTGCAAGAATGCATGGACCAGACTCGACCTTGTTACAGCTTTGCGGAAGTCCAGAGTTCATGCTGCCAAGCCTCTTTGTTTACTGGGTTGTGCATCGGTGGAGAGCAGTAGCACGCTGTGAATCTCAGTTGCACAAATCACACGGTCAGAGCATTTCCCTAATTGTCCAGGAAAAGTTTGAGCTTGGCGTTGTCAAATTTGCAGAGGATCTGAGCATTTGGATCAGGTGTCTGAGAATCTTCAAAAGCGTTGGCAACAGTCGCAATGTTTAGTGCTTAAGAAGTTAGTAGGGATTGTTTGAGATTGTGGAGTTCGCGACCTTGACGAATGATCACGAACGAAAAGGTTTCTTCATCAAAGGTGGCAGTAATTGTGCTCGTGGATGTTGTTTGATGGCCCTGGACAAGCAACAGATGAGTTGAATTTCACTAGGTAGTCTGTGCGAGAGCCCTTTCTGGCAGATGGGTGATTTTAGAGTAAGGAAGGTTGTTTTCAGCCACGAGCAGTATGCTAGTGTGGTGGAGTTCATTCCTGCATAGACTCTGAGTGGGCGATGGCGCCCCAAGAGCTACAGTGCCTTTGAGTGGTTGCTCTCTCGGCCTCGTCTCAGGGTTTGGCGGTGCGGTGCCTTCGTTCTTGTATGCCACGACAGGATGTGTACTGTCGAGACGCAGCTTTGGAGTTGATCAAGCTGCCATCCAGTCGGCTGTGTATCCCTTGAGTGTCGTAAGAGTACCCTGGAATCCTGCCCTAGCGCCCCCATGTCCACGCGACCCTTCCTGATTAGGGAAGGTTGAAGCTCTGTTCCTCTAAAGACATGACCTAGAAATTGTGGCAAGGGTTTCCACTTCGCGGGTTTTTATTTTTTGTTTCTTTTTTATATATCTAATATTTCTAGGTTATGGAGTACAAGGTTGTTTTAGGGGACTGGGATTCTCTACAGCCTCCTGCGCGCCTAGTTCGCGATGAGGTCTTTATTCAGGAACAGAAGGTCCCAGTCGAAGAGGAATGGGACGACATGGACAAGGAGTGCTTACATGCTGTTGCGTATGACAAGAACGGTGAGACTTTGGGCACTGCGAGGTTACTGCCAGATGGCCATATTGGTCGCATGGCTGTCAGGAAGATAGGTCGCGGCTTCGGCGTTGGAGGGGCAATGCTCAAGCTGTTGATTCTGCAGGCGAAAGAGCGCGGGCACAAAGAAGTGGTGCTCAGTGCACAAATCCATGCAGAAAAGTTTTACACTCGCCATGGATTCGTTCGTGAGGGTGAGGAGTACATGGATGCTGGGATTCCGCATGTACAAATGCGACATGTCTTTGTGTAATCGTGTTCGCTATGATTGCAACCATAGCATAATCTTTCAATGTACATGTATTTAGTTTCGGATCCTCTCACTTCGATTGGTATGTTTAAAAAATAACTCGGTATCTCAGCTGGCGGAATGCCTGAAATCTCCTATTAAATTACAAACTACTCAACAATGTGTAATGTGTCTTGGAATCTTGCCAAGTCCATGTCGAACGCGTCTTTCATATAAACATGCTGCACACTGCATCAGATGTGCCTAATCAAAGACCCATACGTCTCCTTTCTATTATTGTTCACCCAGTTTTACCACTAACTTGATCTGAGATCACTCTCTCCCGAGAATTCTACATATTCATACAGTCTATAAAGTGGAGTTGTATTCCATGGAGGTTGAATGAAATATCCCCCTCACTAGCAGACACTAAACAGGAGAGAACCATTTTTAATACTGCTGGGATTGTCTCGTTGTAGGTGTGAGGTGGCATGTTCCTGGCTTCAACACCGCATGACAAGGATTTCTAAGAACAGCGGACCTTCGCAGCCAAAGCAAACTTATCCTCTTTAAAAGACTGCCGGAATTTTAGCAACTAAATCGTCATCGGTGGTTGATAATGGCCAACTTCTCCACGATGACTCCGCATGAAAACTAAGCCACTTAGAGAACACGCTACAAAGCATACCACCTACAACAACTGTTGGATCCTAGTATTGAGAATCAAATCTGTTTAAGCCTCCACTAATATATCTGATTTATCAAAAATGATAACAAGACAATATCTACATGCTTTGTCACGTATAAAACTGTTCAAAAGAATCCCATCCTTGCGTGCTGTTCCTGCAAACGCACGTATAAAAACTTTAGGCCAAAGCACCAAAAATCCACAGAAACTGCAATAACCAAATTATTTTGAACGACCAATAAAAATTTGATCAATCTCAGAGTTAACATCAACTACACTTGCCACATCACACGATTCACCCGCTCGAGATTCAAGACCTGCACACTGTTCATGCATTCAGACCCATGCGACCTCGCATCAAACTCCAAATCTCCTCCAACTCCCACTCTCCCAACACCACACTCATCCTCCATCTCCCGACCTCCCAACCTCACTTCCCCAGCGCTCCCACTCCCGCTGCTCACCATCACTGACACTGCGCTCGCGCTCGTCTCCTTCTTCAGCTTTATCCCCTTTATCGACATCTTCTTCGAACTCCGCTTCTTGCTGTACGCTCCTCTCACCAGAGCCAGAGGCGTCACCGCCGCCCCTCGCCCCAGCGTCGTCGCCTCCTGGAACGTGTGGAACACCACCGCGCTCCCGCTCGCCAGCTCCTGCCGGCTGCTCCCGTTGCACACGTACCCGCGAGGGCACGCCGACGCACCCCACGACTCCGACTCCGACCCCGCCTGCCCCCTCGCCAGCCCGCTCACGTCCACGCTCATCGCGAACGCCGCGGGCTTGAACACTCCCACCACCCTCTCCACCAGCGCCCCAAGCTCCACCTGTCCTCCCCTGTACCCCATCGCCTCGAAGCTCGCGTAGCTGAACCCCTCCTCCGGCGTCACGTGGATCGTCGAGTGCGCCGCTCCCTCGATCCCGTTCATCGAGTACCCGCACGGCTCGAACGCGAAGTCGCAGATCCGCGACTCCGGCAGCAGGCTCTGGATGTTCGCGCCTGCCGTCATCTCCTCCCCGCTCTCCCGCCCCGCTCCCTTCCAGAACTGCCCCGCCGACCGCCTGCCCAGCTTCGTCATGCACATCTCCACCGTATACACGCACTCCTCCTCCTCCTCCTCCTTCCCCGCGCCCCCACTCGCGTCTGCATTCTGCTCGCACGCCGTGTAGATGTGCCAATTCGGGAACTTGCCCCGGTTCCCCATCACGTACGCTCTGCCACCGCTCCCAATCCCCCCGAAGTACTTCTCCAGGTATCCCACCTCCTCCGAGAAGCTCCCGTGCGGATACGGCTGCACCGCCGGAAACATGAACGTCCCGCGCGTGTACTTCACTCGCCTCACCTTCATCGCCAGCCGCGCCACCACCTCCAGCAGCACCGGCACGATGCACAGCAGCTTCGTGGTGCCGCACGTCTTGATGATGATGCGCTGCGGATACACGAACAGGCTCGATTCCGACAGCACGTACGAGTCCACCTCGGCATTGCTCAGCTGCGCCACGATCGTACACTCCGCCACACACAGCATGCTATCCAATTCCGACCTCGTCAAGTCTCTCAGCCCGCGCCCATTGGGGTCCCTGAACACAGGTGCGGGCTGGAACTCGATCTCCAGGCGCTTCTCGAACCCTTCGAACCCCGGGCTGGTCCCCAAGGCGCCACATACCGGCGCCACCTCCGACACACACGCCGTGGCTCCCATATTTGATAGCCGGTTTTGTACACGAGTTTAGTTCTACCATATCTCCCTACAGAGTGTATCTACAGTTCAGGGAGAACAGCTTACTCGAGAGAAAGGAAATGGACAACAACAGTCTTCGTTCTGAAGGAAACTAGTAATTCTATCAAGGACTAATTAGTTGAATGAAGGGAATAATTTTATTCTGCAACTTCCATGGAAAGCCTCTAATTTTTAGGCAAGATTGCCCTGCAGTCGCATGTTTTCTCCAGTAGAGCGTTTGACTGGAGTTCAGCTTCTAATCATCCTACACCGCTCCTTACTGTGTTGTGCCAATCTGCGTGTGAGTAGAGTAGAATAGAACTGCGATCTCAGCATTGCAACTTCAATTGGTCGGAGTTGTAATATTAGGAAAAGGCCCAAACAATGACTTCACTCAGTGACGATCCAGTTGAATTTTCTCACAAAAATGGCACGGGTTTCGAGCAAGTTCGACTCTTCCAAAGGTAATGGAGGTTGTGCCTCCAGACTCTCTCTTGACGCAGGGCATGCATGAGATCAAATTTACTTCAAATTGGTGACGTTGCAAAGTGGGTATCTAGAATGCATAGACTTGATTGACAAACCTTGGTGGGATCAAAATCTCACTAATGGAGTCGGATTTTACCGTCGTAGGAAAAGGATATCACCAGCTGCTCTCAAATCGGTCGCTCTCAAAGCAGCTGGAAAAGGTCGCAGCCATCCCTGTGACGATTATCATCCCAAAGCATCCTCACCTATCACAATTTCAGTCACCTGGCACTGATCATGTCGAATCCACCCGTTCTTGCAAACTCTATCTGCAGATGGATGCACCACGGCGCACAAGCCACGATCACACGGTTGCTGCTCCATCCCAGCATGTTCCATCCGACAAAATTTTGAAAGTTGATTGTGACTAGCTGCAAGTAGCTAGCAAAGACTTTTCTCTCAGCACTACTGAAATTTATCGCCCCCAAACATGATAATAGGTTTGCAACTGAGCACTCCTACGGCTCCAATGTGCCGATCTACACTTGTTTCTAGACGGTCGACTGGGGCTTAGGTTATGTCTGATCGGATTTTTTAAATTAAGTTCACAAAGAGTCCCGAACAATCTCTGTGTATATACAGTGTCGGCGAAAAATTCGACGACATTCGGGACATTACCAATTTTCGACTCCTAACACCTCATGACTAATGTACAAGACTCAACGGAATTATGACTATGCTGTTCGGTAATGGATGCAGTCGACAATGAAAGTGCAGCAGGGGGGAAATGATCTATCGATACGAACGTGGCATTCCAACGTGCTCATCACAACGCAGACAAGTGGCCAGCCTAAACGAGAACAGTACCGAATCAGCCGGGTGTCACGCAGTACAAAAAGTTTCTTTAAAATATAAACTAAAATAAGTGGAAGGAAGGAAGAAGACGATATCGTATGTATCTTCTAAATCTGTAGTATATCACTCAACTTCGGCTTCAGGATTATGTATATCGTAGATTTATGCTTTGAGAGATAAGGGCAGAATTTCCTGCCTCGCATCTATTCGACCGTAGAATTACTTGTGGTAACTGTCATTGTGGGTCTGAACTTGACTTGCGTGTCCTGTTGAATGATCCATAGAAAGTCTGTGAACAAGATTAATTTCGGGCTAGTCTCATCGTCTCCCCGTTTCCCGACACATTTTGCCAAGGTTCCTGACCATGGTCTTTACTCAACCTCGACTCCACCCACCTGGTTATTGTCACTAGTTACACGCCAAAGTATTCGTTGGTGATTTTCTGATTTGCCGCCACTCGTGCGGTACCTGTGTTAATCGAGAGACCGATAGATTCCGGTGCAATGAAGGCCGAAACTGAAGCGCGTAAAAATACAATCGACGACGCGATAGCCGTGATGTGGTGATCGACCGATTCTGATCCATGGGGCTGGAGCGTTGGTGTGGTGAAGTAGCTGCTGTGGGACCATCTCAGCAATGACATAACGGAGCCTGGGAAAGAAAGCGGAAACTTCAATTGGAACGACTTACCATGCGCCGTGAGAAGGGGGTGATGCCTTTTCCACTAAATGGGGTCCCAGATCTTTGCGAGGAATCGCCATGGATCTTCCGGAGATGGCGTGTGCACCTGGCTTTCGCAATGCAGCGGTTGTTCACAACCTCCCACGCTTGCTGGGCCCGGACTGCAATCGTCATGCTTTTCTTCTTCTTCTGCCTCGGTTCTCACTCATATGATTGCACAGCCCCGTGCTCCGCCATCGATCCTCGCGACCCTACCTGGACTTGCCACTTCGAGAACCGCGACCTAGCACTCGCTCCCCTCGACACGCATCTCCTCACCCACCTGCAAGTGGCACATGAACTCTTACAGAACACCCCAGCGAAATCATCGGCTGTGGTATATTTCCCCAGCCGATCCTTTTGCGATCCCGAGCCTTGACGAGACCTCGTGACCAATCGGGATGCGCCCATTTTCAGTTTCTCCAGCTGCCCCTTCGCTCTCCCCACGCACAACTTCACGAAGCTCGGGGCGAGTGAGAGAGGGAGTGAGCGACGAAGGGAAGCGCAACCATGGTCACGCGCGATTCCCAAGGCAGGCTTTTGAAATAAACCCACGCCCTCCCTTCCCCACCCCCCCGCGGTGATGCTTGCTCCGCCGCTGGCAGTCCTTCACATATAACAAAAGCAAAGTATGTGGGCACAAAACGGATATAATTTGAACCCGGCGCCTTGCAGATAGATAGATGCACAGGATAATGTGGCAGTGTAAAATCAAGGGGATTGGTAGAGAGTGTTGGATGTGCAGTTGGAGGTGTCTGTGTGGGATATCCCATTAGTGTCGCTGCTGCTGCTCGGTATCCTGCTCTGCCATGGTTGCTAGCGAGCGAGCGAGTGAGGGAGCTTTTGACCCAACTTGGCGAGCTCCTTTTAAGTGCTTTCTGTCGCAAAGCTCATCCTTTTGTCACCAATGGCTGCATAAAGGCCATTTCTCCTTTTTGGTGAAAGTTAAAAAGTGAGGCCCATATCTGGACTTAAGATGTGGGAACAAACTAAAAAGGAAAAGGCCTTCTTGTGTGTGTGGGGGGGGGGATGACCGGGGAATCTGGTGAAAATCTGGCGTGGCTCTCTCCTACTTTGTATAAATCTGCAGCTGAGGGAAGCAACCATTGTTGGCACCAACCCTGCCTGGTACAAATCCAAATTGGAATGTGGTTTGATGACCCCCCCACCCCCCCGTGGGCCTGTTCTCTCTCTTGCTATGAAAACCCACAAACATCACATCATGCAGTATTTATATACACATATATATATAGATATAGATATATATGTATAAACAATCCTTTTCTTTCTTTCTTCCAGCAGTATTCTCATTGGAGGTGTGAATAGCAATAGTTGAACACGAATGTTGCTAAATTTCCTTGACAGTTTCAATGTTGATATATATTTACAAGTACTAAAAAAAGAATATTAGAAGAGTATATGATAGAATGAATTGTATGATATGCAGTAAACCAGTAAATTCATGAAAATAATAAATGATGTAATTATAACATGTTAAGCATGCCCACTTGTATGAACTATTTTAAAACACAATTGATCTTGTGATTTTCTTTAATTTTACTTTTTTAAAGTATTAAAAAAATTAATTTTAGAAATAATTTTATACTTATTTATATAACAATTAAAAATATATTAACATAGTTTTAATTAAATGAAGATAATAGCATTTTTCATCAAAAAAATATGATTTAGTCATACATTTCAACTATTCTATGTGAGACTTATTTGCATTCAAAATTGTAAAGGAAATAAAAGATATAACAGAAAAATAATAAATAAATAGATAAATAAATTGAAACATACACATTCCCAAAGGATCTAGACATGAGGAGAGATGCCTTACATCACTTAACAAAAAAATTGAATTCCATTTCATGTGTTGGTTTTTCTTTCTAAAAAAGGATTTATTTTGAAAGAAAAAATTTTAACACCTTCAAATTCAAATAAATAAATAAATAAATAAATAAAACTAAAACCCTTAAAGAAAGAATAAAATGAGAGAAGACAAATACTAAAAAAACATTGAGAAAAGCAGGGAAGAAAAAGAACACCTACCAAGAAAAGGCTATTGTAATATCTTTAAAATAAGTCTTGTAGATGGTGTTTTGTTGATTTTAGGATAAAAGTGAATAAAAGGTTGTATCTTTTTCATTTTATTTCATTTTATTTCATTTTTCAATTAAAAGAATCATTATGTAAAGTCAAGAAAATTACTTTAAAAATGCAATCAAATACTTTGTCCTTATTTTTTTTGTTTTTTAATTTATTTGAACTTGTGTTTTCTGTTACTGTTTGAACCAGTAACAAGCTTATAAACATTTTAAATTGAGAAATTTCCTATAAAAAAGGGTAAAAAGTACAAAAGAAAAATACCACCATTTATTACTTTTGATAAAATTAGTTGATAACTTATAAAATATAAAACTTATGCATAATCTATCTCGAAATTCTAAAATAAGTATTTATATTTAAAAAATATCCATACAAATACATAAATAAATAAAAATACATCTTCTAAATTTTTCTACACGGTTGATTCAATATAATCAAACAAATCGTTGATTAAGTTAGTCAAGAAACATATATCCCTTCATTTTTCTCTCTCTCTCTCTCTCTCTCTCTCTCTCTCTCTCTCTCTATATATATATATATATATATATATATCAAGGTAGTTACAATCGTCCATACAACAAATCAAATAATAATTTCATCAAATTAAAAAAGCAATGGTAAAAATAAAATAAATCAAAAAAATATAACACTTTACATATTTTTGGATATTTGGTTCAATAAAGTTTGAAATATAATATTATGTGCTAAATTAAATATTTTCTTATAATTTATTTTTTTTCTTATATAATAAACGAAATATACTAAACATTTTCACTTGATCAAATCAAACAATGAATATATTATGTAGATACAATAAAATTTGATACTCATATTTGAATCTATATTTAATAATAATGAAATAATGGATAAAAATTATAATTTATTTATTTGATCTTGAAAAATATATTTTTTTTCATATTAACATATATAAAGAGATAAAAATAATTAATTCATAAATAGATTAAAATCAAATTTTAATTTAAATAATAAATAAAAACATTTTTTTGATCATCTATATTACCATAATCTTACAATAATTGTTTTAAAATAAACGAATACTAGTTAAAATTTAAAAATTAATAATATTTTCTTAGATTAAAATTAATATTATTTAAGAAGTTTTTGGATCTACCAAAAGTGTAGATCTGCATTGTCTTTGGCAAACAAGCATTTGTATAAAAAAACTAAAAAGAATCTAATAAAAATAATAGTAATATAATAGTGTTCACACAAAAATTATGAAGTTATTATTTGCAAAATATTTGAATCTATATGTATTATTTATATATATGTTGAAAGAGAGAGAATGAACTTGCAATTATTTTACATCAAAACAGTTATTTGATGGTTTATTCTTTATTCTATTTTACTTATTTTAACTGCATTTCATCTAAAATAATTTAAACTGTAAAATCTCTAATGAAAGATATGATACAAATTAACAAAGAAACATACTTTTAACAAATTATAATTATTCTTGACCATATATTTAGCATGTAATATTTTGAAATTGACTCTCTTCCAACATACATATTTGTGTGTATATAATCAGAAATATTTGTGTACTTTGTTTACAACAACAACACAAACAAACAAAAATTATAAAAAAAAATTAATAATATAATTCGATATTAAAGTCTGCACACGTTTTTTATTTTAAAAAATAATAATCTTAATAATAATTTCATAAACTTTTAACTCAAAAAAATTGTCTGACCATTATTTTGACTAATACCAAGTTGTTTTAACAAGACTCGGACAAATTAATTCTAGCAAATTTTTTTTAGTCTTGCATTAGTATTGAATTTTTAAAAATATAATACTTTTTACTAATTAATGTATTCTTAAAATTAAATTTTATTATAATTTTTTATTAAATCTATGTTATGTTTTTATTTTTAGTTAATACTTTAATGAATAGAATATGTCTACCATGTGTATGTATGTATGTATATATATATATATATATATATAGTTAGTGCTGCTACTACCACCACAACTCTATAAATATCCCAATCAAATTTTAGTCCAACTTTTTTTTCTACTTCTACCACAATCTATTCATCATGGTTTTACATATATTTCAAATATTAACAAAATATTTAATTGCAATGATAAATCATTAAAGTAATATATTTTTAGGTGGAATTTTCAATATCTTAAATCTATATTTAAATATATTTTTTAAAAGTCAACAAGGACAAATATACATAAAAAATTTCTTTTTCTTTAAAAAATTATTATGAATTATTTTTTGACTATTTTCTTAAGATTTTGATTTATGCCAAATCAAAGCTTTTTCCAATCAATGTTGAATAAGACGTATCAACTTCTTTACCTAATAATAAACAATAAAACCTTCTATGAATTTTAAAATACAAATTAAATTAGCTATGTATCATGAATTTAAAGATTTTTTGAAACTTTTCATTTCTAATTCTATAGATATAGGAATAATTTTTAGTTTATTATATATCAACTATTCTTTATTCGAATGGATATTTATAAATCTTTTAGCTTTTTCAAATATAATTTTTATTTTCAAAAATTAATAGTTATATCAAAACTACATTTAACCACATTGAATATAGTAACTAACAAAAAGGCATAAAGAAGTTGCTTAGGAACCATGAGACTTATGAGCAAGATATCTAAGTTATATGACACTTCTTTAGTTGTTTCTTAAAGATAATAACTTTTAGAATAAATTTTTGTACATTTAAGAAATATCTAAAAGAATGTATAGTTTTAAATTGTGTCTAAGAAGTTTTGATTGTGTTTCTTAAATAAGATATGATCTACTTAATATAATTTTACTTGCTTCTATTCATTTAAATAATGTAAATATTTATTA